GCGGCGGCGGCGGAACGGCCTTTGTGCCGCTTGGATCCGCGGCGTTGGAATTCCCGCTGGTGCTTGGAGAGCTCCAGGCAAGCCTTGGCCAAAGCCACCGTGCCCGACCAGGGCGCGTCCATCCCGTCCGGAATGCGGCCCGAGGGATCGTCCGGGACTCCCGTCATGTCCAGCACGCGGAGGCGGCAGGAGCTGGGGAGAAACCATCGAAAATGAGGAGGAATAATCAAAAACGGGAAGAAAAACAGGGGAAAAAAAAAAAATTGGGTGTGTCTTGTCCTTCTTCTCCTTCTTCTTCATGGCTTCCATGTGGTGTTGGCATTTTTCTGTTGGTTCAGGCTGGGGACGCATTGGTCAACGTAGGTGACAGGTATTGGCATGTTATTGTAAATATAGCACAGGGAGTTTGTGGTATATAATGTTATATTGGCACGTTATTGTAAATATAGCACAGGGAGTTCGTGGTATATAATGTTTATAACACCCCACGGAGGGATGTTATATTGGCACATTATTGTAAATATAGCACAGGGATTTCGTGGTATATAATGTTTATAACACCCCACGGAGGGATGTTATATTGGCACATTATTGTAAATATAGCACAGGGAGTTTGTGATATATAATGTTATATTGGCACATTATTGTAAATATAGCACAGGGATTTCGTGGTATATAATGTTATATTGGCACATTATTGTAAATATAGCACACGTAGCTTGTGATATATAATGTTATATTGGCACGTTAATGTAAATATAGCACAGGGAGTTTGTGGTATATAACGTTACTTTAGCACGTTATTGTAAATATAGCACACGTAGTTTGTGGTGTATAATGTTATATTGGCACATTATTGTAAATATACCACACGTAGTTTGTAACATCCCACTAAGAGATGTTATATTGGCACATTATTGTAAATATAGCAGAGGTAATTTGTGGTATATAATGTTACATTGGCACGTTATTGCAAATATACCACACGTAATGTTTGGTATATAATGTTTTTAAAGTCCCACAGAGGGATGTTATATTGGTGCGATATTGTAAATATAGCACACGTAGCATTTGGTATATAATGTTTGTAATGGCCCACTGAGGGATGTTATATTGGCACGTTAATGTAAATATAGCACAGGTAGTTTGTGGTATATAACGTTACTTTGGCACATTATTGTAAATATACCACACGTAGTTTGTAACGTCCCACTGAGGGATGTTATATTGGCACGTTATTGTAAATATACCACACGTAGTTTTTGGTATATAATGTTACATTGGCCCATTATAATAAATATAGCACACGTAGTTTGGTATATAATGTTT